TGAGGAACATGGGACTTGGCATCTGAATTGCCTGAGTCCAAATCCTGGACCCAATGCTTCCTGGCTGTGTAATTTGGGCAAGTGACTGAACCTCCTGAGCCTCGGTTTCTCTCATCTGTAAACTGGGGACAATAATGGTGGTTGTGAAAATTACAGGGTGATGTGCCTGGCAGAGGGAGAGAGCAATTGTGGGTTTTGTTGTTTTTAAGGAGTCCCTGATAGCCACATATCCCGTTAGGGAGATGAGCCAGCTATGGAGGGTTCTATGAGAACGCATAGCACCACCACCCTAATCAGAGGAAAGGGGAAGGAGAAAGGGAAACAAGATCCTTGGGCTGATCAGAGGAAAAGGTGGCAATGGCACAATACCTATTGGGGCCCAAGGTGGGCAGGGGCCGCATCACAAAGGCTGTGGTTGGGAATCAAGTTTTGCCCATAAGGCAGTAGGCAATAAGATGATCAAATTTATGCTTTCCTCTATTCAAGCCATTCTCCCTTATGCCTGAGGTCTCTCTCTGGAATTCCATACTGATGTAGATCTTTCCAAGCATCACCATGGCCATTTCAGTGGCAGACATTTCTGGTGTTCAAATATCTTGTCATCTATCCTTTATTAGCTTTGTTTATACTGTGATTGGGGGAAAGGTGTCATGTCGGTCTTTACATGATTAAAATTACTTAAAATGACTTTTATACATCAGTATGACTGTTTTATTGTTTTAAATCATCAGCAGAAAAATCTGACTGGGGATGTTTTATTTTTCTGTAACTTCCGTTTGTTGTTGTTTTGATGCACTTTCCTTCTCCTATTAATTCCATAAAGGAGGCAGTATTTCCAGGCTTCACAGAGCAGAAGATGGAGGCTCACAGACTCACCTGGGGTTACAGAACTAGTAAATGGTAGCAGGCCTTTTTGCTCCAAAGCATGTGCTCTTTCAGTATCACTTCCTGGGGGTGAGGGTTCAGACCATGCTAGGATCAGGGAATGGCCTGGGTTTCTGTGGCTTGCTGCAGACAGCTCCCAACTGGCCCCCAAGGACTGCCTGGACATGGAAAGGCCAAGAGCATATGAACCCATGTGAAAGACCTATCTGCACTCTTCTTGGGGCCTAATGCAGAGACAGGGATGTAAAACTGCTTTTTCTTTGACTATGCAGAGACAGGGATGTAAAACTGCTTTTTCTTTGACGTGAGCCTTTGTTCTGCACATAACCAAGAACAAGAAGTTGCTCCTGTGCTCTCAAAGCAATGATTCGCAACCCCAATTGCATGACAGAGCCCCCTGGGTTCCACACCACCTCTGTGGGGAGAGGGCAGGCATTCATATTTTTTAAATGCCCCTTAGATGATTTCAATTTGCAGTCGGGGCTGAGAACCAGTGTCCTGAACTCACTCCGTTTATTTGGGAGACTCCCAAAATGTGTATTTGCAGAGCCCCCTTTCGGGGAGAGTGCTGTTGGATGCTCCTGGAAGATTATGGCAGCTCTCTAAGCAACGTAGCCATAGTCCACGCCTACCACTCTTGGTCACAAGGGCAGAGGAAGGGAGGAGGGGTCTGCTGGGAGGTCAGGACTTCTTTGAGATGATCTGCCCAGTTGGGTGCAGCACAGCCACCATGGGCTCACCCAGAGTGCTCAGGGGATACAGCACTGGCTGGGCCGTGGAGAGACGCTGTGTAAAAGGGAGCCGTCAGCCCCCTTGTATTTCCAGAGCCTGAAGAGTTTCAGAATCCAGCCTGGGGGTGGTGGGGTGCCATCTCCCTTCCCATTGGCTGGAGGGTGAGCCGAGATCACTCCATTCATGGTGGTTCTCTTTACAGCTGACTTATCCTCAGAACTGCTGACACTTTACACTTTGTAAACCTGTGTTTTTTACATTATTCCTTGTGATTCTTTTTTTCCTAATAACTCGTTCACCAGGAAAAATCCCAGAGGCTTTCAGCTCTATTCTGAGAAATAGGTCAAACAACTGAAACCCTAGGAGTAAAGCAGAGGCGTGTCAAACCAGATTGCCAAGACAGCTCAGTCGTTTTCCCTGTGAGCTCCTGCTCCATCCCCCCACCTCCGTTCTCCTTCTGTTGAGGCACAAGGGCTGGGTTTGGTGGGTGAGGTCCCCAGCTGTAATTACTGATGTCAGCTTTGGGGTCCCAAGGAATCCCCTCTCCTGTTATCAGAGCCGTTGGCAATTAGAAATGCCTAGTGCCACAGCAGAACCCTGGGCTGAAAGTCAGAACCTGAAGAAGCCAAACTGGTGCTTGGGATAGAGAGGGGGTGGACTCAAGAAAGAGAAGACTGAGGGATGGGCCTCATGAGCTCCAGCCCCTGAGACTGCCACTCCCTGGCTCCCAGATGAACTGCTAGATCTAGATGTAATGGGCTCAGATGAGGAGATAATGAAAATATGCTAAGGACCAAGAAAGGCACAGAAAGGCCCCTGAACCCTTGGGTGGGCACGAATGGAGGTGCGCCTGGCACCAAAGGCTGTTCTGAGAGATGTGCCTGCCAGTCAGCCAGGGCCAGAAACAAGCAGAAGGGGCCCCCCGGCAGACAGTGGCATGGAAGAAGCCATGGCCTCCAAAATGTGTGTGGCGGGGCGAGGGTGTGGTTGACGAAATGACAGGAGACCAGGACCACGGTCATCTTGGCTCTTGTGCAGCCCTGACTCATCGGTGCTCATAAAGCTGCACTCTGGTGAAATTTTGTTGGAGTCTTAGAAGAATTCAGGATAGGCTTATGGCCAAATCATTTTATTGGTGATTTTCCCTTTTACTGGGGGGATTTTCCCTTTACTGGGCTAATACAACACATCTGAGGAGTTGGGGCAGCTACCAGATCAGGTTTATATTGTGTAAACTGCACACCACCACCAGTCCTGCTCGGTGCTGTTTCAGTAAATTAAGATAGTATCAATGAGAAGATGCTGTTTTACATACCATTAGGAAGGAAAAATGGCTGCAAATTATCTTAAGGTACCATTGATTGATTAAAAGATGAATCCTGATCTGACATATTAAAATGTTTGAGGCTGATGCAGAAGGCAGTTTCCTCTCCACAAGCCTCATGGGTGTGCAGAATGGTGTAGACACAGAGATGGGTGCCTCACTTACCTCATGCACAGACTGGCTCTTCCACCACAGGGCAGGCACTGTGTAAGCATCTTCCATTCCTACACAGGTGCTAGTAGGGGGAACTAAGGCTTGGAGAAGCCAAGTAACTTTGCTCAAGGGTCATATAATTAGTAGGAACCAAGGCTGAGGTTCAAAACCAGGCCAGACATCCAACGTGCTGAAGCAAGCTACACCCCATCTCACAGGAGAAGCAAAGACACGCCTGGTTCCTTGTCCCAAGCACTCTTCCGGCCCATTTCCTCCAAGATAGTACTTGCTTGGTTTGACACTTTCATCAAACAGGACCCCTTGTGAGCACACGGCCATGCTCTGGTGAGCAGCCTGCTGCCCTGTCCACCTTTCTGGGTGGCTCTCTCTCTACTAACTTTGGCTCCAAGAACATGACTGTCCAGGAGCCCCATGGCAAGTTCTGGGGTTTCTCAGACCTGAAGGTGAGCATTTTGAGCTCCAGATATGAAAGGCAAGTCCTGGGTGTTATGTTCATTGGAATCCTAAGAGCAGCACTGACTGGAGGGCTAAAGGCAAGGCCCATCCACAGTTCACACACTTGAAACATCAATCCTTCAAAAAGGGTGGGAGGAGGCCAGGTGCAGTGGCTCACTCCTGTAATCCCAGTACTTTGCGAGGCTGAGGCAAGCGGATCACTTGAGGCCAGGAGTTCGAGACCAGTCTGGCCAACGTGGTGAAACCCTGTCTCTACTAAAAATACAAAAATTATTTGTATTTTTGTGATGGTGGGTGCCTGTAGTCCCAGCTACTTGGGAGGCTGAGAATCACTGGAACCCAGGAGGTGGAGGTTGCAGTGAGATTGTGCCACTGCACTCCAGTCCAGGCAACAGAGCAGGAAAATGAAAAAAGGGAAAGGTTTTCCTAAACTTATTAGCAAGAGACCAGGTTTGCGGAGAACCAGGCTCCTGGAACGCAGGAGGCAACAGTTTGGATGTCCCGGGAGCAGCAGGTGGAGCATCCGGGGAATCCAGAAACCCACAGCAGGCAGGCTGCCAGGCATCTCCAGAAAAGGGACCAGAAAGCCTTTTGTTCAAGAAAGGATTCCAGTCTAGAGGGCTGGTGAGCTACCGAGAGCTAAAGGCTCCCTTGCTGTGTCTGGTGAAAGGAGGACAAGAAACATGGTAGGAGTTCTTGGGAATGGGCTTGGTTTCTCTGAAGTCAAGAAACACAAAGAGAAAGAGGCTCCAACGTCTAAGCAAGGCCCAGGGGATCAAGCAGAGCTTCCTAGAGCTGATGAAAGGGCTGGGGTGGGGTTCTGAGGCCCAGTGAGGTGACACTGGCCCCTGGGAAGGGCCAGTGCAGGCAAGGATTCCAGCAGGAGAACTGACAGGGCAGAAGTCCCAAGTTCTTGGCCAAGCCTCTGGTTCGAATGGTGGGCTGTGGATGAGGTCGGGGAAGATGTCAGAGGAGGCGCTGGCACTGACGTGGCTGCCCAGGGGTAAGCCCAGAAGCTATGGGAGTCTGGAGAGGGTGAGAGGAAGAGGTGCAGGGCTGAGTGTGACAGCACCACTCCTTATCCGCTCTAGCTCTGTCCATCCAGATGTGAGCTCTGGGGTAGGGGCTTACCTCCTCTAGGCTTCCTTTTCCTCAACTGTGAAATGGGGTGACAGTGGAAAGACCTCAGAGTTACTGTGAGGTATTTAGTTTTAACCCCCAGTAACAGCCTGAAGAATGGCTCCTGCCTTAAAGAGAGAGAACAGGATGGCTTTTTACTAAAATGTGCCAGGATAGGGCACATCTCTGCCCTATCTACCCTTCCAGATACTGCCTCTACCATACCCAGTCCTCAGACAGATGCTGCTCTCCTCTTTGAGAAACAGAATTAAGGCACAGAGAGGCAGAACCTGCCCATTACTATCACTTGTGCATTCATTCATTCAACAGACATTTATTAAGCATCTATAATGTGCCAGGCCCTGGGGACACAGAGCTGGAGAATGTACAGTCCCTGCCCTCAAGGAGCTCACAGTCTGGGGGACAGACATGTAAACACATGAGTTACAACGCGCTGCGTGAAGTGTGTGGCAGAGGTATAACAAAGTGCTGTGGGGCACAACAGAGCGACCAATGAACTCTTCCTGGGCAGGGGTCAGGGAAGCCTTCACAGATCAGTCAATAAATACAGTGCCATGGGAGTGCCTTGCGCACCACAGGCACTCACATCTCAAATGCTGGTCCACTGGAGGCCCTTGGGCTGGGCAGGAGCAAGGCCTACTTCTGCTTCCTCAGGACAACTTCCCCACCTCTGTCCTGGGACCACCTGCCCGCCTGGGCCTGCAGTGACTGAGGACACTGCTCCCACTCCAGGGGCCAGTGACAGAGAGCAGCTATACAGAGGGCCCACCCCGCGGGATCCTTGACAGGAGCTGAGACAGAACAAACTGCTGCGTGTCTCCCTACCCTGGGGGTTGTGATATTCCTGGTAACATCTCTGAGCTGGTCTGTGAGGTCACTTCCTCTCTTAACACTGTTGAGGAGACTCCAAACCCTCTGTCTTTTGCTTGTCTTCTCATGTCGATTGGTCACCGGCCATTCTCAGGCACCAGGGCACAGCCCACACGGGTGCCCCATCAGACAGGGCTGCCCACAGCAGCCTCCTACACCTGAACTGGGTTTCTCTGCACACTCACAGCCGTCTCACCAGCTCAATGAGCTGCTGGATGTTTTTGTTTTGGTTCGACAGGCCGTTCCTGATGTTTTCGAGTAGGCATCTCTTCAATTCAAATATGGCTTCACTGTAGGCCAAGCTCACTGCGGCCATGGGAGGTGCTCCGTGCCACAGGCCAGGGATGTGCCAGATGTGCTGCTTCTCAGGGTCACAGAAGGCCAGGCCTGCCAGTGCCCGGAAGCCGTCGCTCTGTTTCTCCATCTGGGCTGCAGCCCTGCTCAGGTCACCAGGTGGATCTAGGAGCTGTCTCTTGTCTCTTGGCCTGGGGCCGGGAACAGATACATCATGAAGGTTCTGGTATACAAACTGGTAGTTGGGCATGTGCCCCGTTTTTTCTAACCTCAGAAATGCATGCAGAATAGCTGCTGGAATGTCCTTGGTTTCAGCTAGGCTGATCACGGTGACATTGCTCAGTCCCATGAGCAGAGTGGCCAAGGAAGCCTCCAGCTCAAACCTGTCCCCAGCTGAGGTCAAGGCCCCACCTATCAAGCCCCCAGAGTCTATCACCAGGATGTGGTCACAGCCGAGGTCCTGGCTGAAGCCCTCAGCCACTGTGATGAGCTGCATGAAGGCCCCTCGAGGACTGCAGCTCTTCCCTGTGGCAAACCGCAGCCCAAACATGGTGTTGAGGAGTGTGGACTTGCCCGTGCCCGGCACCCCGAGGGTTGACAGAACCACCAGCCTTGACCGTCTCTCCAGTCGGACGTGCAGCTCCTTCAGGAGCCCCGTGACCCAGCGGACGGGCATGCTCAGGGTGCTCCCATCGATTAGCTCCAGAGGCAGCCCTGTCAGCAGCAGCTCCGAGGCCAAGCCTGGGAAGTGGGCAAAACGCCTCTGGCCTGCTGGCAGCCTCCCCGCCTCCACAAGACAGCTCTCGGCCTCATAAAACTGTCCCATCTCCCGCAGGAAGTGTTCCACCCCCAGGGGCTCAGACCAGAGCGGCTCCCCCAAGTCTGTGGCGCCCCCATGCTTTGGTCTCAGGGTGAGAAGTGTCTCCGGAGGCTGTCTCAGTCGTGGCTGGGCCACCCGTGCCAGGCCCCACTCCATCCACCTCAGGAAGTACTGCTTCTCACTCGAGGGGCTGCTGATCCCCGAGATGAACTCCTGCACCCCCGAGGAGGGATCGTGGCTGTTCTGCTGCATTCGAAGTTCTAGCAGCCGCCGCCTCAGCTCAGCCCTGTGCTTCTCGGGGGGGTCCACGGCCCACTGGAGCTGGCAGAACTCCTTCTCCACTTGGGCTGCCTTTCTCCAGGGGTCCCCCTGCAGCCTCAGCTCATCCCTTCTGTAGGCATCCGAGTCTTTGATTTTCCTGGTAATCCTCTCCATCCGGTCTTTCGCTTTCTGACACTCCTCACAGTCCTCGTCAACCTTTAGGCCGAGCTTGCGGGCTGCGTGTGCCATGTCCTCCACAGATACCCGCCTGCAGGGTGCCCGCAGCACATTCCCAACAATGGCCCGGATCCTCTTCACGAAGCTGTCGCTGTCAGTGCTGCTGACCTTCACCAGGACATGTGAGTGGTCTATTTTCAGCACAGGAATTAACTTATTCAGAAATCTCAGGTTTGTGTTGCGCTTCCCACGGTACGGACTCAGGATGAAGTAGTATTTTGTGGTTGACTCCTTCATGGAGTACAGCAATTTGTATTCCTTCTTACTGATATTGTCAGTCAATATAAACACAGCGGAGGAGATTTCTGTCAAGAGCTTAAACTGCAGCCAGTGAGACCCGATGTCACCTCTCAGGTTCAGAAAGGTCACAGGTTCTGGAAAAATGTCCAAGTCCTCCCTTCCGCTGGGAAAAAACCAGGAAATTTCTACCAACCCATCCGAAATCTCCCGGGCATTGGTGCCCAAGTTGAGGTCCCGATGCCAGAAGCAGTCCCACTGCCTGTGGCCCGGGCTGAGGACGGCGTTGAGAAGCTGGGACTTGGAGTTGCTACTGACATCCATGCGCACGAAGGCGAAGGCGGGCGCCCTGGACAGGACCACGCTGTCTTCCCGGAAGCTCCCCACGCCCCTTGGGGGCTGGGACCACCATGTCCTCACAATGCCCCGCATGGCCCACAGCAGAAATGTATGGTAGTGGTTTTCCGAGTCAGGCAACACGAGCGGGAGTGCAAACTGGCAGAGGGCCATTTTCAACACTATTTCTTGTTGCAGGAAACTGTCTGAGGAGATCAGCAGGGCACAGAGAAGGTCTAAGGGGTTCACTGGTGTATCAGGGGTAGGCAGTTCAGAAAAGGAATAAATGTCGGCAGCAAGGTCGTCAGCTGGGTCCCAGTAGATGATCTCCTCTTCCATCTGGCTCTCCTTCTCCACAGGCCTGGCATCTGGGAGCACGTCCAGCACCATGGTGGTATTCCTGGCATCAGCATTGAGGGCCTGCAGCTTCCTGAGGAAATTCCAGGGCAAGTCTTTGGGAACCTGAGGGGCCCAGTTCTTCATACTGTCAAAACTGATCTGCAGAGAGTCCTGGAGGCTGAGTTTCTGGACCTGGTACATCTCTAGGCCCAACAGTGACAGCATTTCTTGAAGCCTGCTTCTCTCCACTGTGGAAAGAAATGAAGACATAAGTGCTCACCCTGTGTTTCTGAGCTAAGGGCCAGGCAAGAGCTGGTGAGGGAGAGCCCAGTAGGATGGGGAGAGTGATGACCCCCTTCAGAGAGCAGAGTGCAAGCACAGGAGGCTCAGGGTGTGCTCAAGGCTGACCTGAGACCAAGGCAGGGTTGGAACCTGACATCAAGGTACAATAGGTACCAACCTAACCACAGATATATGTAACATTAAACAAAAGAAAGAACAGAAATAGAGAAGCTACATTTAACAATTGGAAGAGTTCTTGCAAAAGCCAGATTTCTGGTCTTTCTAGAAACCTGTAAGATCTAACATTGAGCTCCAAATTAATTGGCTACAGTGAGCAGCACATGACTCCTAGAAGCTGAATGCAGGCCTCATCTCCCCACTGTGTCGTTTCTGTGACTCAGGGTCACTGGGAAGTTCCCACAGGAGTCATAATCACTGAATCGCTCTCTGGCTTTCTAGTTAATGCTTTTTTGTTTGTTTGTTTTGTTTTGTTTTTCTCTCTACAAATAAGAGAATATTTTAAAGGAACTAGAAAGAAATCACTAAGCATAAAGAGTCAGCAATCATAGCTAAACAACCATTTTGCAAACCTGAAATCAATGTAAGTTTTCTTTTTTTTCCCCCCTTTCTTTTTTTTTAGACAGGGTCTTACCCTGTTACCCAGGCTGTAGTGCAGTGGCATGATTTCAGTTCACTGTAGCCTCAACCTCCTGGGCTCAAGAGCTCCTCCCACCTCTGCCTCCCAAGTAGCTGGGACTATAGGTGTGTGCCACCACACCCAGCTCATCCTTATATTTTTTTGTAGAGATGGGTTTTTGCCATGTTGCCCAGGCTGGTCTCAAACCCAAACTCAAGCAATCCACCTCTCAAAGTGCTGGGATTATAGGTGTGAGCCATGGTGCCTGGCTTTAATGCAGTTTTTAATTTTAAATGTATTAAAATATTCAGTGCAGACTGTTAGTGAGTACTTATTTGCAGATACTCAAATATCACCCTATACAATATAAAATCTTATAAGCTAGATGCTTGGAATAGTATTGCTACCTCTGAAGGTTCCATCCACCATCCCAGGTCTTGGCCCAGCACCTTCCTAATGTTCATGCTGCATATAATTAGTTCTCTTAAAATTTGTTGTTGTGGGCCAGGCGCAGTGGCTCATGCCTGTAATGCCAGCACTTTGGGAGGCTGAGGCGGGCAGATCACGAGGCCAGGAGATCGAGACCATCCTGGCTAACACGGTGAAACCCCATCTCTACTAGAAACACAAAAAAATTAGCCGGGTGTGGTGGCGGGCACCTGTAGTTCCAGCTACTTGGGTGACTGAGGCAGGAGAATGGCGTGAACCCGGGAGGCGGAGCTTGTAGTGAGCCAAGATCGCGCCACTGCACTCCAGCCTGGGCAACAGAGCAAGGCTCCTACTCAAAAAAAAAAAAAAAATTGTTGTTGTTGTTGTCTGAGACAGTGTCTCACTCTGTCACCCAGGCTGGAATGCAGTGGTGTGATCACAGCTCACTGCAGCTTAGACCTCCCAGGCTCAAGTGATCCATCCATCTCAGCTTCTGAGGAGCTGGGACTACAGGTGCACTAGACGCTTGGCTAGTTTTTGTATGTTTTGTAGAGACGGGATTTTGCCATGTTGCTCAGGCTGGTCTTGAACTCTCTGGCTCAAGTGATCTGCCTGCCTCAGTCTACCAAAATGCTGGGATTACAGGAATGAGCCACCCCGCTGAGTCACTTTAAATGTTAATGCATGAAACAAATACAAATTCCACTGCCCTGCAGCCTTTTTTCCAGTTCCTTTCTCAAGAGAGAAAACGACGTGTGTGATGCTGCTTTAGATGTTTAGATAAACATGAAAGGAAACACTGGGTGACCCAGCCCTCTGCCTGTTTCCCAAGAAGGTCAAGTGATGGATTCAAGACCACCTCCCATTCAACCAGCAGGACTCACAGTGCTGGACACTCTGTTCAGAGAGTTCCACAGGCAGTGCAGCCACAGGACTGCCCCACAGAACATCAGGGGACCTATGAACTTGTTACAAAAACAAAAGAACTACATGGGAAGAATCACACTGTGGCAGAATAGGTGTTACTCAGCTTTCCTAGCTCTGCCTGAATGAAACTAGCAACACTGTTTTTCTTGTCCAGACATGGAACAACTTTTAATTTTTTAAGTAGCAAGGTAGTAAAAGGCAATGGGGAAAAGACAAAGAAAACACTCCTGCCCAGTGTGTGGCCCTTGGCAGGTTGTTTAGAAGCTCTGGGCCCAGGATCCTGACCAGCAAATGAAGGCGTTGGACCAGATAAATGGTTTCCAAACAGGGCTGTACATTAGAATCACTTCAGGAACTTGTTTAAAAATGAAACATCTCTGGGTTTCACTTCCAAACATGCTAACTTATTATAGGCAGTGAGTATGTTGGGTGGTGGGGGGACCTGGTAACTCTATGTGGTTAGCAAGTTTCCCAGGGTTTCTTTCATTCCTTTTTTTTTTTTTTTTTTTTTTGGTAGCAATATTGTCAACAATGTATAAAGGGTTAATGAAGTAGGGCATCCTACACCTGAGTGCTCTGCCTCCCCAGGTGATTTGATACAGTCAGGTGTGGGAATTGCCGGCCTAGATGATAACCCCCTTTCATAGAACAGAGAGAAAAAGCAGAGAAAATGCTTACCTGTTGGAAAATCATTGTCCTGAGTCTCATTTGTACCATCTATGGAAAAAGCAATGGAAAATGAAGTGTCAATCAAATAATGCACCCTTGGCTGACACAAATTAATTGAAGCTAAACCTAGAACCCTTCTTTCTCACCAAGATGGCAACTTCTCCCAATTGTTCTAAATATAAAATCCCGGTTATCTGTCACTTTACCCACTCCCCGTCTAGCCAATCCAATCTGTTGCCAAATCCTGTAGTTTCTACCTCCATAACGGAACTCGCAATCATCTCCTTCCATTTCTCTCCATTCCAAATCTAGAAGAAAAAAGAAACCACATACATTTAGTTTCATCAGCAAGTTAGAACCTTTCTGTCAAAAATTTCAAGTGCTCATGCCTGTAACCCCAGCACTTTAGGAGGCTGAACAGGAGGAGTGCTTGAGTCCAGGAGTTTGAGACCAGCCTGGGCAACCAAGCAAGACCCTGGTCCACAAAGACTTTTTTAAAAAAATTAGGGCAGGCATGGTGACTCATGCCTGTAATCCCAGCACTTTGGGAGCCCAAGGCAGGAAGATCACTTGAGGTCAGGAGTTTGAGACCAGCCAGCCTGGCCAACATGGCGAAATCCCGTCTCTACTAAACATACAAAAATTAGCAAGGCGTGGTGGCGCATGCTTGTAATTCCAACTACTTGGGAGGCTGAAACATAAGAATTGCTTGAACCTAGGAAGCGGAGGTTGTAGTGAGCCAAGATCTTGCCACTGCACTCCAGCCTGGGCGACAGAGTGAGGCTCTCTCAAAAACAAACAAACAAACAAAAATTAGCTGGGCATGATGCCATGAGCCAATGGTCCCAGCTGAGGCAGGAGGATTACTTGAGCCTGGGAGGTCAAGGCTGCAGTAAGCTGTGGCTGCACCACTACATTCCAGCCTGGGCATCAGAGCAAGACCCTGTCTCAAAAAGAAAACAATACCAAACAACAACAAAAAATGTCAAGTGACAATACGGTGGCTGATGTTTTAGTGCTATTATTGGTTTCAGTTTTTCCTATGTAAATGTAATGTTTTGCCAGCAAAAAATATATCACAAGGTAGTAATAGCTACACACAAGACAGAGATTCGCTCTAGGATATATCTTTATAGAATTTTCTAAACTTTGGGAAAATAAAACATGAATAACCATAAAACTTATACAGATTAACCTTTGATTTTAGAAACTATTTAAAATGTAAGTTGATAGAAATTCCTTGACTATTTAAAAATTCAGCACCTCCTATCATGTTTTTATTCCAGCATAAGACATTTTTGTAATCAGTTAAAATTAAAATGTGTATCAGAGCACAAATACACCAGGGTGAGGTGCGAGGGGAGAGATAGTGGGGAAGAGTTGTGACTTACCAGTAAACTGTTATTTGCCCAAAGTCTCCAAACATCATGAAATGTCCATCAACATTAATATCTTAATTACAGGATGTGTTTAATGTAGTGGTAGTCAGATACTTATGTATGAAGGATGACCTAAAACTCTAGATTTGCTTGCAAGTCCATAATATAAAGGAGAGAACAGGAGGCTTAGGAAGGAGGGAGCAAGACTTTTCAGTGCATGTTTTGACTATTTTGACTTTGATCCAAGAAAAAGTAACACCTAGGTTTCAAAATTTACACACACCACACACATATATATATATTTTTGAGACGGAGTCACGCTCTGTCACCCAGGCTGGAGTGCAGTGGCGCGATCTCGGCTCACTGCAAGCTCCGCCTCCCAGGTTCACGCCATTCTCCTGCCTCAGCCTCCCTAGTAGCTGGGACTACAGGCGCCCACCACCATGCCTGGCTAATTTTTTTTGGTATTTTTAGTAGAGACAGGGTTTCACCGTGTTAGCCAGGATGGTCTCGATCTCCTGGCCTCGTGATCTGCCCGCCTCGGCCTCACAAAGTGTTGGGATTACAGGCGTGAGCCACTGCACCCGGCCCCAAAATTTACATTTTTTAAGAGCTTATAAATCAAGATTCGGATATTTTCAGATTTGTTTTCTCATGATTTCCATGCAATCAGGTAGATAAACCTAACATTTCAAACCGTCTTCTTTGATGATGTCTCTGGGAGATAGACATGTGAAAAGCAGGAAAGAGAGAAAAAGAAAATGGGGTCCAGGAAGCATGAGAAGATCAGAGAAGGCACAAGATCCACACACATCAACCACAATGCCAAGCAGTCCAAAGACTACATTATTCAAGTGAGGAAAAGCCATCAGAACAAATTCTCCAAGGAACCCAAAATGCCATATGAGGAGAGAAAATAGTTAGAGAAGAGACTGGGAACGTCTAAAGATGCCAGAGATAGGGTTGGGGTGGTTCTGAGAGTAGTTTTAAGCCGGAGTCAGGACTAACCTCCAGACTCAGAGAAAATAGGGCCTTGCTTGGTTAGGGGTGGGAAATAGCTCTGATGTGGATTTAACAGGTAGATGAAGTCAAGGATGCACAAAGTAGCCAAAGACTGAGGGTTACCAAACTAAGGAAACCACTGACTAGGGCTGGGAGAGAGCCTGATGTTCTGCAGCCATCAGCAGATTGTGGGGCAGGGGGAAGAGGCGGCAGCAGGGCTCTAGGCAAAGACACAAAACAGCAAACATAGGGGGCCAGTGAGGGCTCAGCTCCATGAGCCAAGGTCTCCACTATACTTCACATTGGGTGGGAAGTGACCTAAGGATGAGATAAGCTCTGACTCTGGGAGTACTGGGCTCACACGGAACACAGGGACAGAGAATAGGCCAGGCCCTACCACCATGGTGAGCCCAGGAAGAACTGTTATGAGCCCATTGTTAGAGAACTCCAAGTAAGGCAATGAAAACCATTTTCAGGCCAGGTGGGGTGGCTCATATCCGTAATCACAGCAATTTGGGAGGACAACGCAGGAAAATCGCTTGAGTTTAGGAATTCAAGACCAGCCTAGGCACAATAGCAAGACCCTCATCTCTACAAAAAGTTTTTTAAAAAATTAGTTGGGTACAGTGGCTCACACCTGTAGTCCTAGCCACTTGGGAGGCTGAGGCAGGAGAATCCCTTGAGGCCAGGAAGTCAAGGCTGCAGTGAGCTACGATGGCCACCACTGCACTCCGGCCTGAGTGATGGAGTGAGACAAAAACAGAATGAGCTATGAAGTAGAATCTTCAGAATTGAGTAAGATAAATAAATTATATAGTGTGACTACATAAAGTATAAACCAGGCAAAGCTAACCTATCCTTTTAGAAGTCCGGATAATGACAGACGAGAGGTGAAGTGACTGGAAAGGGCCTTTGGGGGCATGGGTTTTCTTCAGCTTCTCCATCTGGTTTCTGGCTTGCATAGGTAAGTTCATGTTTGTGAATATTTCTAAAGCTATTATTCGGAGTACTTTTCTGAATGTATAGTATACTATTTTTTTTTTTAAGACAGACGCCCACGCTGGAGTGCAGTGGTATGATCTCGGCTCACTGTAACCTCCACCTCCCAGGTTCAAGCGATTCTCCTGCCTCAGCCTCCTGAGTAGCTGAGACTACAGGCACCCACCATCCCACCCAGCTAATTTTTGTATTTTTAGTAGAGACGGGGTTTCATCACGTTGGTCAGGCTGGTCTCAAACTCCTGGCCTCAAGTGATCTGCCTGCCTCGGCCTCCCAAAGTGCTAGGATAACAGGCATGAGCCACTGCACCTGGCCTGTATAGTATACTTTAATACAACTTGTTTTTAATCCTGTAGGCTTAAAACCTTGCTTTAAGTCTTTAAAATTAAGCATACGCTCAAGAGGAACTCACATAACTCATGAAGAAGAAGAGCTATAAAGAATAACCACTGGAGGTTTATTCAGTAGAGATATTAAAGTTTGGGGAAGAGCCAGTGTCTCTGTGCCTTGGTTTCCTCAAATGAAACAGGGATTGATAACTATCTTAGAGGTTATTGTTAAAAGTAATTAAGACAACCTAGCTCACAATAAGCATCCAATAAGGCCATTCCCTCTCCTCGCCCCATCCCCATGCTTTCTTTCCCATTTGTCTAGAACAACGCTCTCCAAGGGAACCTCCCAAGATGAAGTTCTCCATCTGCAAAGTCCAAACTGCAGCCGCTCACCATGCAGGCTGCTGAGCAAATACAGCTAGAGTATTTAAGAGCTGAAGTTTTAATTCTGTTTAATTTTAAACAATGTGCCTAGTGGTTACTGTGTTGAATAGCATAATTCTAGACGTGGAGAAACTAAAGGGCTTTGGGCAATTACTGCTTTATCCCAATTCTGCTACAAGCCTTGACCAACTGGCCAATAATCCCCATGGTGCCTACCTTCCAGAATTTAAGTTCCATGAAGGGCTTTGAGCCTTTTCATTTACTATTGTCTACAATATCCCAATGCTCACAACAATGTTAGTACATGGTAAGTACTCAAAAAATATTTGTTTGAATGAATAAAATAGTGATTTTTTTCCATAGAGACGGGGTCTCACTATGTTGCGCAGGTTGGTCTCAAACTCCTGGGTTCAAGCGATCCTCTTGCCTTGGCCTCCCAAAATACTGGGATTACAGGTGTGAGCCACTGTATCCAGCCTAAAATAAAACTGTATTAACCAAAACTTATTTGCATATTTTTGTGGATTTTTGTTTTTGCATAACTCTATTAATATCCAATAGAACACATTATTATTATTTTTTTTGGCAGTTAAAACATAGTTTATTTTTTAGCACATTCATTTTAAGAAGAATGTAATTTATGAAAGATATATCTAAAATGAGCTACTGGCTGGGCACAATGGCTCACACCTGTAATCCTGGCACTTTGGGAGGCTGAGGCAGGCGGATCACCTGAGGTCAGGAGTTCGAGACCAGCCTGGCCAACATGGTGAAACTCATCTCTACTAAAAATACAAAAAATTAGCTGTGCGTGGTGGCACATGCCTGTAATCCCAGCTACTTGGGAGGCTGAGGCAGGAGAATCACTTGAACCCAAGAGGTGGAGGTTGCAGTGCGATGAGATCACGCCACTGCATTCCAGCCTGGGCAACAAAGGCGAAACTCGGTCTCAAAAAATAAAAGAAAATATAAAATAAAATAATCAAATAAAATATAAAACAAAATAAAATGAGTTAGTAAGAGAACTAAAGATATCTGGAGTGTGGCCACCGTACCTTAAAGGTGAATTTACAAAGGGTGGTGTTACAGCCCCACCCCCAAATCCTCAGAGAAAGAAAAACCAGCCTGTATGGATCACAACCAGGAAGACTACAATCCCAGTTCATACCTGTTTTCCCAACATTACATCCCTTTCACTCTCAGAAGTGCCCACTTTAGAAGATAAACTATACAGTCACCTTAACTATGACCTACAATGGCTGTTATGCTAAAATTGGGGTAATGTGTTTCTGTTAAATTGTGTCATAATCACTTGTTTAACTGAATCCTGGGAACACTTACTCCATTTTCTGGAATAAAGTGTTGTTCATAAAAAAACAAAAAAACCCCCACTATTTTGAATATATGAGGAATGCTTAGAAGACCCTTAGATGGAATCTTCTTGTAAAAGGAAAAATAAAAGCCTTAAGCTTATTTATTTTTGAAGTGCACAATCCCAAGTCCAGGGAGAGGCTGGAACCCAGAATCCCAAGGGGACAGGAGAAGTACTTCAGCTCCAGAGTGGGCCCACATCCAGTTCATCCAACTTTACCTGCAATAGCCACAGCTGTTCGTCTCTCTGATGCTTTTATTTCTGGGGCTACTTCTCCCAAATCTGAATGCCTGAAACAATTTCAGAAGAAAATTATAATTAAAATAATGGAATACCACTTTCACCTATCAAACTGGCCGCATATAAAATCTCTTGGAGAGCTTTTAAAAACTATAAACCCTGGGTCACACCCCAGATCCATGAAACTAGAATCTCTGGGAGCTGGTCCTGGGTATCACTGCTTTTAAAAGTACCCTCAATGATTCTGATGTGCACCCACAGTTGAGAAACACTGGTCTAGAAAACCAGCACTCTCCAAAACTTCTGGCCAGAGCACAAATACAGCCATTCAGAAAGACAGAAAAATATACATACCCTTTGCCCAGTAATTCCACTTCTATCCTAAGGAAATAATTAAGATTTAGTTACAAAGATGTTGATGCCAGCTTTATATATAATAGCGAAAACTGATGCCTTTTAAAATCAAAGTGCAATAACGGAATTATGGTCGAATTCTGCAGCCATTACAAAATACGCTATGGATTTCTCTTGTGGACAGAAAGATGCTGGATGAGATGTTAGGGAAAGATGCTATGTTAATTAGTCGGGGGAAAGTCAGGCTACAGAAAAGTATACATAGTACGACTACAATTTAATAAAATTGTGTATATTTATCTACAGGTATATATACAGAACTCTAGAAGAATGTTCATCTGAAGTTAACACTGTGGTCTGGAAGGGGTGATCCTGAATTATTTTAAGTAGCTATGATAAGTGTAGTCTAATTAAGAATAAACTATTTTAGGCGGCGTGGTGGCTCACGCCTGCAATTCCAGCACTTTGGAAGGCCGAGGTGGGTGGATTACTTGAGGTCAGGAGTTCAAGACCAGCCTGACCAACGTGGTGAAACCCTGTCTCTACTAAAAATATAAAAATTAGCCAGGCATGGTGGCAGGTGCCTGTAATCTTAGCTACTCGGGAGGCTAAGGCAGGAGAATCACTTGAACCCAGAAGGCAGAGTTGCAGTAAGCTGAGATCGCCTACTGCACTCCAGCCTGGGTGACAAGAACAAAACTCCGTCTCAAAAAAAAAAACACAACAAAACTATTTTAGATGTATCACAGGAATGAGCAAATGAGTAAATGTGTTGATTCTGCCAGGAGCCAGGGTGCTAGCTAACTATTCAAGAAAGAACATACAAACAGAATGGAGAGTTACAGCAGAACTTGCAGAGGCGCAATGGAACTGGAGGCACTCATGTGAACTGTGATTTCTATATGCATGCCTATGTGCATATGCGTGTAAGTGTGTAGATGTAGGTGCGCACACATATCTCTGTGTGTATACGAGTGTACACATGCATCTATTTCCTAACTGTCCACGGAAAGGGCCAAGATGCAAAGATACTGTTGTGGCAATGGGCATGCCTAGCACCCTTTAATACCTTCCATGCTAAAAGAAAATGGACTCCTTGGAGATCCTGAATGATGGCTGGGGCAAGGAAAGAACAGGAGGAGCCTGAGCATCTTATTTCAGAAAGTAAGGAAATGCTCAAAAACGTGATGGTCACAGGAGCTAGCCTGAGAAACTCTCCCTGGTCAAATCTAGGACAATGTGAGCACAAACACAGTAACTGATTTAAAACCATCGAAAACCAGCAATTAGTGAGTCCACATGGATAATAAATACATGGGCAGAAAAAGAAGGCTCTCTTGCTCACATCAGAACATGAAATGTGGAGGGGGATGCTGCAGTCAAAATAGTATCATTTTAGAGCAGGGCGTAGTGACTCGTGCCTGTAATTCCAGCATTTGGGAGGCCAAAGCAAGAGGATCACTTGAGCCCAGGAGTTCAAGACTAGCCTGGGCAACATGGCAAAACCCCATCTCAACAAAAAATAATGAGCCACTGCACCCTATAGCCAGTAATTTTAAAAATTATAACACCAGCCAATCTGTCAACTCGGGCTCCAGCCCACTTCTAAGCCTTGCTGAGTTTCCTGTCTGTGCAACAGGCGGAGTCGGACCAAGATGGCAGAGAACAGCACTTCCAGCGGCCCTACTCAGGGGTAAGGGAGCTCTCTGCAATGCAGTTTTTGAAAATTACTAATATCACTATATATTTGTTTCTGATTCCAAAAATAAGATACACACAAAATACAAGAAAGTATCATAGAAATGCTTTCCTGTCATATGTTTGAAAATTATACCCTATGTTAATCTGTCCTCTCTTCCTCATAATCTACTTCCATTGCTCTAGCCCATTCTGTTAACAGGTAGAAGACTAGTGCATTTGCATGCCCCAATTTACTCCCTGATGACCAATGGCTCTTTAGTTTCATCTTCTTCTTCTGGAGCCCACCCTGGCCCTTAATTAGCATATTTACTGTACACACCCTACTTCCCTATTAACTTAGAATCATGACCCTTTCCCTATATCCTTCACAATGTTGAAAAGCATTCTACTTTTATTACTGGAAACAATTTTAAAAAGGTAAATATTCTCTTTGTATTCAGAATACAGTCAGAACACAGGAAATAGCCAAGGTCCTCAAGCCCCCAGGGTGTGGTGTCAGACACTGCCTAGGGGCCGGCCACCTGCAGCAGCTGCTCACCTTCCCTCCTCTGGGCACTTCCCCACACAGACATCTCTCCAGGGCAGGGGTGACCTGATCGCCACCCTCAGGGTCCAGGGTGTCCATATCTCCTCACTAAGTTAGCCAGTGGATGGGCTGGTTTGTTGTCTGGCAGAAAGAATCAAGTCCATGACCAACACCAGGGCAGCCATGCTATAAACAGCATGTGGCTGAACCCTGCTTCCGGCAGGTCTGCTGATGGTTCACTGCTCATTGTGAAGGCCATCTGTCTTGCTGATCGTCTAGCCACAGAAGACAGTGCGGGGTTAACTTTCCTTGTCTTCTCATTTTTCCTTTTTCATTTCCTTCTTTTTTTCTAACTGCCCAGCAGATCTTAGGAGCTTTTTTGCTAAAACCTGGAGATTCTGATTTACCATACCTGGGTGTTCAGCACATAAGAAATTATCAACTAGGGGAAGTCACACCTTTGTTTTTCTGTTGACCTACCTCAGAATATGGCACTCCCTGGACAGTCCATCCATGCCCAGAATAGATAGGGCAAACCATGTGGGCAGAATCCAAGTTTTGTTCTAGATCAATCACTAATTTCTAGCAACAAAACTGGTTCCTCTGCTGGATGGTGCCCATAAAACAAGATGGCATAGGAAAACAATTCTGAACAAGGTGAGCACTAGACTAATACAGGTACAATTACTCACTGTATTATAATCAACAATATATTTTTAAATGTGGAGTCCTAATTAGGGAAAAGGAGTCAGGCTGGTGGGACCAAGGGAAAGCAAAGAGAAAGCACGTAAGCTGTAAGTCTGCCTTTCTTCATGGTCCAGGACACATAATCCTCCTGCATAAATAAGTCACAATCTTGCTGCACCCAGCTAACTTCAGACCCTCGGCTGATAGAAAAATGCAAATTAGCTCACTGCAACCTTGGCGTTATCAGTACTGCACATAGCTCTCTCCAGAAAATAGCACAAGCACCATCCTATAAAATCCACAGCAAGCCCTTGTCTCCTCACAGTCAGCTCCTTTCTTGCTGACTTGCCCACTGCTTTCTTGCAACATAATTTCATACTTGTGATTCTTATGCCTCAGCCATCCAAGTAGTTGGGATTACAGCATTCGCTACCACACCTGGCTACTTTTTGTATTTTTTTCCTCCTGAGACAGTCTTGCTCTGTCTCCCAGGCTGGAGTGCAGTGGTGCGATCTCGGCTCACTGCAACCTATGCCTCTGGGTTCAAGCAATTCTCCTGACTCAGCCTCCTGAGTAGCTGGGATTACAGGCATGTGCCACCATGCCCGGCTAATTTTTGTATTTTTAGTAGAGACAGGGTTTCATCATGTTGGTCAGGCTGGTCTCGAACTCCTGACCTCATGATCTGCCTGCCTCGGCCTCCCAAAGTGCTGGGATTATAGGTGTGAGCCACCGCGACCGCCCCCAATTTTTTTTTTTTTTTTTAAACTCACCAGTTTGTGGTTCCTTTGACAGGAACCACAGGAAACTAATACAGTGTATGTGTGGCTTGACAGCTGCACCAGCTTCCACCTCTGTCTTCACGTGGCTTTCTTCCCTCTGGGTCTCTTTTCCATTTCTTGTAAGAATATTAGTCTTATTACATGTGAACCCACCCTAATCCACTGTGAACTCATTTTAACTAATCACATGTAATTTTTTAGAAATCACACCCTATCTCCAAAAAAGATCACAACCACCGCACTGGCGGTTAGGACTTCAACATTCCTTCTAGGGGGCACAATTCAACACACAAGAAGATCTAAGCCAAAAATGGGGTTGGGTATCCCACCTCTAGAGAGTGACCACATGTTTAGGAAAAATTAAAACTCCCTGGAGAAGAAAAGGAGAAATAAAGTGTTTCCCAGACAAGTAAAAACTAAGGGAATGCATCACCACTAGACTCGCCCTACAAGAAGTGTTTAAGGGAATGTTATATCTGAAAGCAAACAAATGGTATCTGCCACCATGAAAAAACAGGAAAGTAAAACCGGGCATTCCAGCCTGGGCAAGTGAATGAGGCCCCTATCTCTACAAAAAAATAAAATAAAGCTCAGTATGATAGTTCATACCCATAATCCCAGCACTTTGGGAGGCCAATGTGGGAGGATCCCTTCATTCCAGGAGTTTGAGAGTGGCCTGGACAACATAGCAAGATGTCATCTCTCCAAAAATAATAATAATAAAAAAGCCAGGTGTGGTGGCAGGCAGGTACCTGTAGTCCCAGCTACTCAGCAGGCTGAGGTGAGAGGATCACCTGAGCCCTGGAAGGTCAAGACTGCAGTGAACCATGACTGTACTGTTGCACTTGAGCCTAGGAGATAGAGCATGATTCTGTCTCGAAAAAAATATTTATTTTTTAAAAGTAAAATAAAATAAAAAAATTAGCTGGGCATGGTGCATACACCTGTAGTCCCAGCTACTCAGGAGGCTGAGGTGGGAGGATTGCTTGAGCCTGGGACATCCAGGGTACTGTAGGCAGTGACTGTACCATTGTGCTCCAACTAAATGGATTAAAATGAGACCCAACTCTATGTTGTCTACAAGAAACTCACTTCACCTATAAAGACACATACAGACTGAAAGTAAAAGGACAAAAAGGCTGGGTGCAGTGGCTCATGCCTATAATTCCAGCACTTTGGGAGGCCAAGGTAGGAGGATCACTTGAGGTCAGGAGTTCAAGACCAGCCTGGCCAACATGGTGAAACCCCATCTCTACTCAAAATACGAAAATTAGCTGGGCGTGGTGGCACACTCCTGTAATCTCAGCTACTTGGGAGACTGAGGCAGGAGA